CCCCACCCCGAAACCAAAGTTTCTCAGCGGATTTGGGCTGTACTCAGCAAGCGCAGTACAGACCCGAAGTCAGAACAAAAAAAAAATCAGAGGAAGACTGTTTTCTGAGCCGTCGGCTACCGCCGACCGGTCGGCCCCGATTGGTCGGTACAATACGGTCGGCGGTCGGCCCGACCGGTCGGCGGGGATGCAACCCTGGCCTGGTTATATAAATATCAAGTGGCAGCATGAAGATCTGAGCTAAATTGAGTAAAAGCAGCTACTTCAGGATATTGTGCAAGTTGGAGTGTGAGACTGCCACCCACAAATGTCATAGCTTTCAATTGAGCTGCAGGACCTGCATGACTTTTTTTATTTTATTTTATTAATTTAGAGGCAACCCCTTTTATTAATAAGACTGAAAATTGGGTCCAGTGCCCCCTACCTCTGATACCCACATGCTACACTTCCCTTCGTTTCCCGAGACCGCAGTCCTGGGACGGCGGCGCAGAACCTGCATGACTTACAGATAATCCTATATGAATAGCAGGTCGGATGCGAATGAAACATCTCTGTTAGCAGCATGCACTCTTGCTCCCAAAGCTTTTTCATAAAGTTAAAATATTTTTGTCTTGGTCTTCAAAAGCCCAAAGGAAAGGGGTTAATGCTCCTGCTCCTGCATTCCCATAGCATGGTTGGTTGGTTGCAAGGTAAATGAATTGATATTCAGGTATCTGACAAATATGACACGTATATATTGAGCTCGTAATGGTAGTTCACAATTACAAAGTTTTTCTCAGCTAAAGAACAAGCGTGTAATGACACTTCACAATACAAAGTTTTTCTGAGGTAAAGAACAAGCAGGTTCCTGTGGCATCATAGAAACCTAATTTAATAGATGAAAATGAGGCAAAGCAATATAATTATGTTAACGCTTTGTAGATAGGTTTTGCTTTCAATTATTTTTTCCGTACCTCTATGAAACAGTTGAAATTGACGAAGAAGGGAGAGCAAAACGGAAAAAGAAAAGAGAAAACTTCAAAAAAAAAGCAATAGAAAGGAAGGAAAGAATGGAACAGAAAAAAATGCAAAAAGAATGGTTCGACTGTGTGTCGTGCCAACTGCTCTTTCTTTATTTGTTTCCTCAAAGTGCAGTCTTTGAGTTGATACTACTTGACAGATATGAAAATATATGGTCATCTGTCGCTGCTGTTGGGGCGTGGAGGGGGGATGGGAGCTCGTGCAGTTTGGGAAGAAAGCAACCAAACTGGACAACGATCGTAATTGTTTCTGAGCGTAGATTGTTGCCTGCTTCAGGATTGATGAGTTAGCCTGAACCTAACCAGTTGTATGACCAAGTTCATGCTGTCTGAGCACAGATGTAGTACCGATGGGACCGTTCCCTAACAGAGGTGTGTACCTGCTCTTATGCAGCTGTTATAATGCCGGAAGCGGAATGAGGAAAACTGAGAAGTCAAACAAAAACTGTGAACGGAAGCGTCAAATAGTAAGAAGAAGGAGAGTGATCATCCATGGCTTTCTTTTTAACTGCGAGTTTTGGTTTTGCCTCGCCAAGCAACAAGTGGAAAATGGCCACGGAATTGCGAGAAAAATAAGCAGAGTTGTTGTCTGAAACATGAGTTCTGATTTTCCCTTTCTTTTTTCGGGTTTCTTGCGTTCCCTTTGGCACGTGGGTGCTCATTGCCAGACATGACTCGACACGTTCTTTCGCTTGTGCTGCTGTTCACTCACTGATACCGTACGCACTATTACCATTCTCTGTCTTTTGCGCAGGAAGAGAAGGAGAAACGCGAAAGACAACTGCTGGTGTTCAAGACGTTGGAGTATCCTTTCGGAAGTGCCTACAAATTGTTGAAATGCTTGTGGCTGTGCAGTCCTCGTTTGGAAATTTTACGGTTGTTGAAAAAAAGCAAGCAGACAAGTGCAATCCAGCACCTTACAACATTTATGAAAATAAAAAGTGAACAAGGCTGAAGAGAACAGAGCAGATGATTCCAAATTTGCTTGTATGCTGACCCCACTGGGTTGGTATGGAAAATCTGCCATTGTCTTCTAATGCATTTGCAGACACGCCAACATTTATTGAACGTAATCTGGCTTCCTATTTATGATATGCGGCATTAGGTTGTCTTTGTGGCTCTCCTTAACATAACTCAGGCAGCACAAACTCAGCGACGACACTCTGGAACTGCTGCATCCAAGCAGCATGAGAGGACAGGTAATGTCAAAATGCTCCGTGTTGTCTCTGTGTTTGTGTGGGTCGGGTGGGGGTAGGGGTGTGGGTGTGTGTGCATTTTCATGTTCGCTATCCACAACTCACAAAAAATTTACATGACCCTGCCAGACTGTTTCATCAGACTTTCACTGATTGTCAGAAGGTTGACCCCCTACACTCTGCCTAGACTGTATTTGACTGATGGATAAGGACTTCACCACGTCGCCCAGAGTTAGCGAGACCCATTCCTGAGGGAGAAAAGTGGCTGACTTTACTCAGACTAACCCTGCAATCCTAGCAGCCTGTCACTCCAAAACCCTGACAAGAATGGGCTGAGAAACTCGCCTGACACAGCCATGAAACCTACTGGCGATCATGCCATTGGGTATCCATGGCTGAGTGGGTGTCTAGAGTGGGTTCTATGGCCGTGTCAGATTAGTTTCTCAGACTTACTGCCCTTCTTGTCAGGTTCTTGGACCGACAGTCTGCCAGGATTGCAGGGTTCGTAAGTTGAGCACTTTTCTCAGGGGTATTGCTAACTCTGGACGACATGGTGAGTGTGTTTATCCAACAGTCAAATGCATGGGTATGTGTACGCACGCACACGCACGTGTGTGTGTGTGTGTGTGTGTGTGTGTGTGTGTGTGTGTGTGTGTGCGTGCGTGCGTGCGTGCGTGAGTGAGTGCGTGCGTGCGTGCGTGTGTGTGTGTGTGTGTGTGGGGGTGTGTGTGTGCGTGCGTGTGTGTGTGTGTGTGTGTGTGCGTGCGTGCGTGCGTGTGTGTGTGTGTGTGTGTGTGTGTGTGTGTGTGTGTGTGTGTGCGTGCGTGCGTGCGTGCGTGTGTGTGTGTGGGTGCATGCGTGCTCGTGTGGGTGTGTGCACACACATACATGCACATTGCTTTTAAATTTTTGAGTAGGTGTATGGAAAGACTCAGAAACTCAAAAGATGTCTCTGCGGGCCTTTCCTTATGCGTACCAAGCGATCTGCAGAGGCTACCGAGTACCCATCCTGCCAGATTAGTGTGTCTTGTTGGGAGTGAGTATTCCTACTTTTGCATTGATGCACTGGAAGCCTTCTGTATTTTCGTCTGGAACTGAGCCATGTGAACCTGAAGTTCCCAGATTTCACCTTCATCTGCACAGAGGGGTGTCCGTTTGTACAGGAGGTCACTTCACGCTGTCGCCACTGGAGATGGACTATTTACCAGACTCTCTGCCTTCTCTACTTTTGTCTGTGAATGGGTATGACTGCACTGCCTCCCCTACCTTACTAGCCATGTTGCATTGCCACCGAACTCGGTAGTGAATCAGGGCTCTCAGGACTAAGTGTTATGCTGTGTATTGCAGACCGAGACAATGAAGGTAATGCTGAGGCGAGCGATGAAATACGAGCGAGCTGGCTTGCCAGTGCCGGCAGATGTCCCACTTCTCCGGAAAAGGAAGTGCTCCACAGATCTTGAGGGGATGGAGGATAATGCAGATAGTGATGACAATCATGATGAGGATACTAGAGCACTGGGAGGGCAAAGCAGAGGCGTCGGTAATGGATCTCAGAATTTGTCTGACTCAGCAACAAGGATCATGCCTGCAAGTGCTGTTGGACGGCCTCATGGAGGTGCTGGGAAGGAAGATGTCAAGGAAACAGGAGATGGAGGTATGGTGAGAAACTTACAGCAAGAGAACAAGATGATGATGGGGAATACCGAACCGCGGGCAGAGGCGGTGTTGAATACTGGGAATCAATTACGAACGGAGGATGATGGTGGTGTTGAGGTCCGTCGGCGGCAACACAGTAATGAAAGCATGGACAATGAAAGAGGTCGATCCAGCAATGACGGAGAAGCTGGCATGAAGCAGGGAGACACTGCGCAAAATCGCACTGACGGTGGGGAAGTGCCACGGGATGGAGAGGGAGAGAAGAGGGGAAGGAGAAAGAAGAAAAGGAGGAGAAAGGATTCAAAGGAAAACCAGGAAGTGAATGAGGCAACTGCAGGTATGCAGCACACCTACCTATTGCCCTTGCATCTGTTAGCTGAACTGTTGACTATGTTAGTAGTAAATCGAGGTTTTGATCACTTGACCTTTCGTATTCTTCTTTATTTTATCCACTTCTCGCATTCATGTGCAAGGTTTTGAAGAGAGTTTATCGTGTTGGGTGAGTTGCAAGGTTGTAGCAAGGGGGCTAGGGACCAAGGAAGTAATCAGGTTGGGAGGACGATCAGTGGCTCTCACGTCGTGGCAAGAGCTAGAAATGTAGAACCTGAAACAGAACTGCAAGAAGTGAGTAAATGCAAGGCAATTGCACTGTCCTGACTCTACCCGGATCTCAGCCTTTCACGAGGGAAGTGTACAAGGACGGGTCTCTAAGCTGGATATGACTTCAGTGGTCTCAACGAAATCCTGAGCATGTTTTTTGTTTGGACGTTTTCTTATCTGTGCAGTGTACACACACCCTCTCATTTGCGTTGTGTGTGTGTGTGTGTGTGTGTGTGTGTGTGTGTGTGGTGTAGATGTAAACCATTCAGCAGAACAGCGCTTGCTTATGGATAAATTGTTATCATATATCTGTTTGCTTAACTTTGCTGCAAGTTTCTGTCATGCAAACTCACACCCAAAATCTCTTGGGATCAGGGCTGCACCGGCCACCGGCCGGTTGGACCGGACCGGTCCCAGCCGGTCCGGTTGGTTGGACCGGCCCGGCCCGGACCGGACCGGAATTCCGGTTGGGCCCAAAACCGGGTCGAATTTTTTTTTTTTTTTTTTTTTTTTTGAT